ACCACCGAGGAGGAGCCTATAGGTAATGCTGATCTGCACACCTATATGTCCAATCCCGAGGTATTCCATATCGAGAACGGCCATATGAACATTTTGACGAGTACGTCGAGACCATACCGCACCCGAGCTGGCCGGGACGCTGACCGTTTACGTCCTAGATCCCGGTATTGGGATCGAAATAAACGAGGAGCGAGTGCGAAAAGCGGCAAAGTACCACACCGAGAACATGCCTGCTTGGAGGAACCCGCTCTGGAGAGGCGAAGACGGCAGTCTCAGAGAATGGTAATTTGATCTGTGTTTATTGAATACAAGCGCTTTATCTGCCCATCATCTCTGGGAACGGTTGTGCAGCTAGAACCATCTGCATATGTTGCTCTGGCCTGCGCGATACTGATCCTTCAACATCGGGCTTAGTGCAGGGCGAGAGTTGTGGTACGAGGTATAGGCCTGTATAGGCCCCTCACGTATGATGCATCTAGTGGTCCGGCAGGTCGTCGGGGGAATTTGCTCCTCCAGATGAACAAGATGCCGGTTTGCTCAGCTGCGGGGTTTGTGTGGGCGTGTGCAGATCCGACCATGTGAGTTTTAAGCTCCGAGTGCTCCATTATCATATGAGGTGATTGAACTTCGTTGACTTCGCTCTCTGGAACCTTATAAATGACATGTTACTCGCAGGTATCGACGTCCTATCTGTGTAACCTCGTTCTGAAATTTGTCAACGTGAAAAGGTACATCCGGGCAGGAACGGCACCAACTAGCTCCAACTTGTGGGCGTTGTGTGGACGCCGGCCTACGCCGACCCAGGTTCGTCAGGGTCCCCGAGGGTCCCCGTCTGGAGTGGCACTCGTGGCGCGTAGATGGGAAACAAAAATAGCCTACATCAATTCTCATCAATCACACGACACCATACTGCCTTCCAAGTTCCAGTAGCGCCAGATATGAGCAGATATGCCTACGGGTGCCACCTCAGCATGTGGTACCGATTTGTCTATCTTGACAGAACTGTAAAACCAAATAGCCACTGGCCACATAGAGACCGATTCCCCGGATCTCAAGATCAAGCTATCGACTGTCGTTCATTCTCGGTCCAAGCGACTTCCTTGAAGCTCAAGGGGTCGGGACTCTGTGTTGGCAGGCTCAGAAGCGGGGGAACCGAATTTCGACGGGCATTAATGTGAATCACACGAACCTTCGATAAGCATGGCGGCAATTGCTACCCTGTTTTGCACCACCACTTGACAGACTGGTAATGGCTTGATGTGAAGTACAACAGGAACTATCAATCCAGGGTTCCGGGAGGTATAAAACAGTGGATGCCAATCGACAGGCCTTCTTCTCGCCCCACGCTGCTGCTTTCTTCAGCACGTTGTCTCGAGGCTTTCGACCTTCGATCGACCAGACGACAATGGCTACCGTTGCAGATGTCCCCACAGTGCCCAAGGAGGCTGCCTCCGTCGACTTCCACGACGACGAGAAGAGGGAGTCGGTTCCCCCAAGCGAGTCCGAGGGGGAGGCCTTCAAGAGCTTTGACGACCATGATGTGTACGTTATCCTCTCTTCAACGAGATATTACACTATCTAACATCGACATCTCCCCACAGCTCCAAGCCGTTCCCTATCGACCCGTCCCAGCCCGAGGAAACTCATCAGCTCACCTTTAGGTACGACACTCAGCGACGGGGTTTCGCCGCTTCCTAGTAACGATATTTCGCAGGGCCCTTTTCGTCGGAAGTTGCCTGGGAGCTGTCGGTGAGCATTACCCACCTCCGTTCGAGCCGTCCTTCATTAGTTCTCATCAACCCGCGACCATCCTACAGTCGGTGCATCGAATGTGTATCTCGGGTTGAAAACTGGCTTTACGTTTGGTCCCCAGCTATTCGGCGTGAGGATCTTTTTGCGTCTGAGACGTTCCCACATATGTTGAAAGTTTTTTGCAGGCTCTCTTCGGTTACGTGATTCTCAAGGCAGTCTCCAAGGCTCTCCCGGAATCGGGTTTGTTGGGCCGGTTTTTGGGTGGTTCCTTCGGTCCAAAGGAAAACTGTACTGTGCAAACGTATGTGGCCACTCGCTGCGCAACCTATCAGGCCATTCTGACTTGCGATCCTGAAACTCCAGTGCTGCGACAGGTTCGTGGTTACTTCCGAAGCTTTTAATCTAACATAATGACGGTTGTCACTCTCATCAGCTGCGGGAGGTATGAGTGGACTGTTCGTCAGTGCATTCCCAGCCATGTCAGTGGTCTCGCAAAAAGGATATTCCCCTGTCAATGAACTGACCCGTGACTTCCTTCAGGTACCGTCTGGGGCTTTTGTCGCCTTTGCCTCAACAAGACACCGGGAAGCTTATCGCCCTGACTGTTTGCTCTGCATTCTTCGGTATCTTCTTCGTGATTCCCTTGCGGAAGTACTACATCGTTCACCAAAAACTGACCTTCCCGACGCCTGCGGCTACGGTAACTCCCGCCACTGTCGATTTTTACCCGTGCTCGCTAACATGTATTATCCTTCAGGCCTATACTATCCGCTCTTTGCATATCGGAACACACGGTGCCGAGATCGCGAGGAAGAAAGGAAAGGCCCTGTTGTATTCCTTCATCATCTGTTTCGTGTTCAAGGTGGTTTCGGGTTATGCTCCTGGAATAGTGAGTAACAATAGTCACCCCATGTGTTCTGCGCTTACGAATATTGGATCCAGATCTACGACTGGCACATCGGCTGGACGCTTTACCGACTTGGTTTCACGAGCATTATCGCGTTAGAAAACTACGGCTGGTGGATCGAATGTTCGTCTGCGCCCGTGATTCGATCGATTTTATTCTTTCTCAAATTTGGCTTGCAGTCACACCTGCCTTCGTTGGCGCCGGAATGCTCAGTGGTCTCAATGCCAGTTGGAGTTTCTGTAAGTTGAACGCTTTGTCGATTCCGAGGAAAGCGCTTGGTTGACAATGACGTACAGTGCTCGGCGCTGTCCTGTCCTGGGGAATAAGTAAGTTCGGTTATCAATACATCCGAAACTAGTGGCTCACGAAACCCAATCCAACAGTCGCCCCTTCACTGGTGAAGAACGGTCTAGCAGTCGGAAAGCCCGCTAGCGAAGAGTTCCCGCTGGTCTCATACGGGTCTCTGGGCTTCAGCGATTCCACAGACGAATACATCAACAGCCCGTCACCTCGATACTGGCTCCTTTGGCCGGGTGTACTCATCATGTTGCTGTACTCCTTCACGGACGTCTTCCTGAACCTGCTACCTATTCTTTCTTGTGAGTCTCAAGGTATTCATCTTCCGCACCTTCACTAACGGTTGACCGGCTGGCAGCCATGAGAGGCGGCATCGTGAGCGAAATCAAAGGCATGTTCCGTCGAAGAGAGGCCAATCCTGACGACGAGGATCAAACCCCCAAAGCGGACCTCATTCCAACATCATGGTGGACGATCGGCCTTGTACTCGTGACGATTATGAGCTGCGCTATTCTCGCTACTTTGTTCCCCCTCAACGTCGGAGAGGCCATTCTCGCGCTTCTTGTTGGCTTCTTGTTCTCATTCATTGGAGTACAATCTTCCGGTGCAACCGACATTAACCCCACTGGTACAGTTGCAAAGGTATGTGCCATCTACTCCTGGCCTGCTACTGTTTGCTCAGCCCATTCGCCCCGCGTAGGCATCCCAACTCGTGTTTGGTGGTATCGCCAAGGGTCAGGGTATGGCGGTCGCACCCGCTCAAATGTTCAACCTGACGGCTGGAACAATTGCCTCTGGAAGTGCTGGCCAATCCGTCGACATGACTGGTGACCTCAAGACTGGCTACCTTCTTCGCGCGAAGCCCAAGGTCCAATTCATTGCCCAGCTCGTCGGATCTGCTGTTGCTGTCTTCCTCAGCGTTGGCCTGTTCATCTTGTTCACCAAGGCGTCTCCCTGTATCATGTACGTGATCTCTTCGGTCATTCCACGAGCCTTTGACTGACTCTGAATCTTCAGTGCGCCGGAGACTGATGGTTCGTTGTTTTCCAGTCATCATGGGTAGCCGTGGGTGGACTGATTTAACGTGATTTCAGGTAAATGTACTTATGGTGCTCCCGCCGTTGCTTCTTGGGTCGCGGTCTCTGTCGCCGTGACGGCCCCCAAGCTCCGTAAGCCGTCTCATCGCCTTTTTGTGGCAAGCATAAACTTATATATCTTCTCGCATCCCAGCCATCTCTCCATCTTCAGGATACACAGCCATTGGCCTCGGGCTCGCCGCCGTTGCCACTTGCATCGTCAAGGTACATACCCCTCCCCAATCCACTCTTACTATGCTCAATGTCTCCGCCCCAGCATCTCTTCATCCCCAAGAAGTACTGGATCTACGTTCCTAACTTCAACGCTATCGGTCTTGCCTTTGTTACTCCCCAGGTCTTCTATCCGATTGCGATGTGAGCTGATCCAACCTCAAGCTCGGGGAGATGCGAGACTGACATCTGAACCACAAATGACAGGGCTGTTGGATCCGTGATCAACTACTTCTGGCAGAAGCGAAACCCTAAGAGCCACGATCTCTATATGTTTGTAAGTGCAAAGTTGCTTGACGTGCTCGCGTTGATGCTGACCCTTCATGCTCATAGGCTATTTCTGTGAGTGTCCTTGGTGGTGATAACCGTCGGCGACGACTGAGTATTGTTCGTTCGACAGGCTGGTCTTCTTGCCGGAGAGGGTCTTGGCGGAGTATTTAATGCTCTCTTAGCTGTGATCGGTGTCGATGGTTCAGGTAAGTGCCGTGCTCAATGTGGACATGGACCATCTCAATAATGAGCACTTTCTGCAGTTTTCGGAACCGGGATTGGATGTCCGGGACTCGAGTACTGTGGCTAGGGAAGCGGATCACTGTAGTTTGAGGCGATTTTTAACTATATCCTTTTATATGGTGTATATGGCGTACGTGATAATTTGATTGATGCTATTGAAAGAACAACGCCAAAAGAAACGCGAATATTGTTCAAGGAAAAAACCATTACTACTTTTTCCCCAATGGACACACTGGGAATTGAACCCAGCACCCCCCGCATTGCATGCAAGTGCTAAGCGGATGTGATAACCAACTACACCATGTGCCCTGTATCCACCAGTTGTTTGAACAATAATATAATGCGATCCTATGTAATCTGGCTCATGTCCTATGCTGGTCGAGACGGATTGGCTACAATTCATTATATACATCAATTTTCGACACCAGAAAAAGCGAGGCCATCCACCGTATCTGACCAATTTCAAATTGATCGAATCCACCGCGTTTTGTATATCCTCTTCGTCAACAGCCGTTGAGAATCGCTATCAGCACTGAAGAACGATACCCGTGCTCACGTCGTCGACGGCTCCTCCGGTATACCCTCGTCGCCCATAAAATTGAATGGACAAGCCTGAAGTCGTACCGAGCTCAACCCCACTACAAGGAGAAGAGGACTCATTCAAACCCCGCATTTTGCCAGTTCGATCGGACGAACCTACAGTTCAACGAATTCTATTGCCGTTCGACTCGCTGCGACGCTACTGAACCTTGAGCCATCTATGAAGGGCCAGCGTTCCTCTGTGAATGTGTCTGCCCTCCTCACCCGTGCGTGCGTGACATACCCTCTATAGACCAATGATCATACTTAGTACACAAACAATGCCAGGTATGTATTCACTGCCTATCGATATCGATGCCCAACGCTCAACATCCTCTCGCCTCATCTCGATACGACGTTCACGGTGCTTTTATCTGTGTATGCCAAGACTTCTGGGGCTACGCCCACATTTACGAGACCACCGTATTTGGCGATACTTATCGGGCCGAGCATATCCACGGCGCGAGTGAAGGTCGTTTTTGGTGTGGATGGGTTGGAAGAGAGGATTTGGGGGATGGGCGACGATGGTGATGGCGATGAGGACGAGAGTGAGGATGTGGACAAGGCAGCAGAGGACGCAGAGAGTGGTGCAGAGGAAGGAGAGGGCCGCTGGAATCTCATACTGACGAAGATGAGGAGGAGAAAGAAGACAGCTCTCAACCGGTTCTTCAAGCTCAAAGGAAGAATAATGGTCTCGATTGATGCAACTCGAAACCTCGAAACCTCGGCCTCAGCAAGTGAACACACGCGCCCAACCATACACCGACTCCAAGCGCTCCTTCACAAGGTAGACAGACTACTCTGAAATACGTTGGCGACGGCAGAAGGTGAAGGCCGTGTCATGGGCTCTGAATTGGTGGAGTTCTCGCTCTGGGGTTGTCACGTCGGGCTGACCTTCACCCAGTTCAGCCCCAACACGGACGCACGTCCCGCACATCTTCCGTACACCTCGAAGGTTCATCCATCCCGCTTGGGTTGCGAAGCAGATTATGGACCATACTGTGAAGTGTGTTCCGGAATTCGAAGAGAGACATGAGGTTTAGCTCATGTCGGGCAAAAATAATGTATACGCAGCGTAAGGCCGCAAAGGAATTCAAAGGTGGAAAGTAGTGTTGTTCCTCTGGGCAGCCATCGTCTAGTGCCTTGCCTCCAGTGGGGACATTGCGTTGACCATCCGATATTTTGGGTGGTTCCTTCATAGAACAGTGTCGATTGGAAACTTTTTGTGGGTATCGCGGCACGGAAGAGACAGGTACAGTAAGAGACCGAGGCGGAGAAACGTCCAGAAGAAGAGCCAGGCAATGCTCTGGCAAACGATTCGATATCCTACTCTCCGCGTGCTGCCAAAACTGTTTTGCGAGTGGGAACGCCTCTTCTGGGAATAGATCGAATAGCGATGTGGATCCACCACCGCATCGTGTGCAGTCATTGGAGTTGATGAGAACGCCGCCGTTCTTGTTTCCTTTGTCTTCTGGACATATCGAAAGTTGAATCAGGCAAGCTGGGACGGTTTTCCCTTCTTGGTAGGCACGGTTGTGAATAAAGGAACGACAGTGCTGGGCGACCATTTTTGTTGTGAAGAGCAGGCATTGCTCGATTTATTCTCTGAATTTTTGTTTGCACAACTTGATCGAGCTAGGGGGCTCTTTGAGCTTGGGGAAACTTTTGCATTGAACTTGGGTGTAGAACATACCCTCCTTATGCTGGGATGTAGGAAAAAAGGTGTGGATATCCACAGACCATAGCGTCTACGATCCGTTTATTGCCCTCTTCGTACCCAACATTGTTTTTCCAAGTGGACAGAGGGACATAGATTGCGTGAGAGGTGAATGAAGGGGCAGCTGAGCCCAACACAAGGGCTGCATCAGGCATAGCGACGTGGTGGTCGCGGTGGGATGACGGCGTGAGGGGTTCTAACATGAGGAATTACTGGAGGTCTGGTCTTTTCTCTCCAGAGGATAGCATTTCCATAGTTCTTGAGGATCACATCGACGATTTTTGAGCAGAGCAACGTAGTTTGTTCGAGCATGCAACCAGCATGGGCAAACCAGAATCCCGAATTCGAATGTGAGGAAAGGAGAGTTACTGTACGATCACGTGGTGTTTTCTCCCGACAATGCCGCCTGTCCTTCTCCGACTCGCCGATCGAACCCCTCTCTCTCCTCATCAAGCCACCATGTCAGTCAAACCGGAGCCCAACCCAATGCAGATTTTCCAACTTTCCTCCTCGATGTATTTCGGTCCACTGGTCCTTTTGCACACCGTTCGTCTCTAACTCTCACCTATGCACCTATTGCGCAATTGAGCGTCGACTTTCAGCAATCTTGAGGACATTTCTGTACCTTCTTCATTTTCTCCTTGCTTCGTCAGCTCTCAATTACTCGGTCGTCAACGCACAGTCAGCTGGGCTCTACCCTTACCAATGCCACTGCGCTTTATCCGGTTCGGCAGGGAGGGGCATATCTTGGCATATCGGACTTTGTTATGGGGTACCCACGGCCTAGACGGCCTAACTCAGCGCGCTTTTATAGCGTTCGAATCTTTGACACGCATCTGTCGGTCTCATCAGTACCACCACCTCATCACTTCACTACACACAGTCGAATTCGTGAACGATGGCCTCGGAAACAGACGCGAGAAAGTTTCCTATCAGCGACGACGGCAAATTCGTCCGACCGCCATCGACTTTTACAAACAAGATTGAAAAGGGCGGAAAGTTTGAGCCTGAGAAAGGTGAGTTGATAATCCACCAGAGGATGTGTATTACTGACAGCAGAATGTCTCTGAACTCTAGATCGTTACCACCTCTATGTTGCCTACGTTTGTCGTACGTGTTGGCAATCCCATATCCAAAGTCGATTGTTGAGGCGTATCACGCACAGCTTGGGCCGGTCGTACACTCATCGCACGTAACCTGAAAGGACTGCAGGATATCGTCTGTGTGTCGCGTGTCTTTCTCCTTTATCGCAATCTCTCACTCTAGTAAAGCCGTGACTGTGTGCTCATCCCGTATGGATTCGAAGGGTTGGCGATTCGATGATGCCGATCCCGACTTTCCAGGATCTGAGCTCGATCCACTCTACGGATCTAGCCATATCAGGGATCTCTATTTCAAAGCAGAGCCCAACTTTGACGGAAGGTAGCGACCTCGATCTATCATCGGTACACCTGTTACCCATCCACTGAGCACTCTTAGGTTCACGGTTCCCGTCCTTTGGGACAAGAAACTCGAGACTATTGTGAATAACGAAAGTTCTGAAATTATCCGGATCTTCAACACCGCTTTCAACGAATTGCTTCCCGAAGAATACGCCAAGCTTGACCTCTACCCGGAGAACCTGAGAAGCGAGATAGACTCTCTCAATGAGTGGATGTACAACGATGTCAATAGTGGGTCCTTTATCTGTCTTCCCTTTCTGCCCTGCTAAATACAATATCATACAGATGGCGTCTACCGTTCAGGGTTCGCCAGGAGCCAAGAGGCGTACGAGAGTGCTGTGAAAGGACTATTCGAAGGACTCGATCGGATAGAGAAAATTCTCGCCGACGGCTCGAAGACGTATCTGATTGGAGAGCGTTTGACAGAGGCAGATGTCCGTCTGTTCGTCACTGCCGTTAGTACTACACTTTCTTCAAAGGCTATTCCTAACATCATGATGTTTCGTATTTTAGATCCGATTCGATGTCGCCTATCATGGGATGTTCAAATGCAACATCAGGAATATCCGGCACGGATATCCAAACATCAACCGGTACGTGAATTCCGTATGAGTCTTCCGTTAGCTGCAATATCTGAAGCGTCTTGCTGTGTCTCAGATGGATGAAAAATTTGTATTGGAACAACAAGAGTTTCAGCGAGCCCATCAACTTCCAGCACATCAAAGCGAGCTACTATCACCACCCTGCTGTAGGTTATCTGTCAACCTTTCGAAACTTCTACTCATTGTGTTTACCTCCCAGTACAACCCCACCGGAATCTATCCTGTTGGACCTATCCCTGCTATCGAGGCTCTGTAAATGCCGCACCCTGTATGGAACACCGAACTCACGTTCGATTGTATGTACTTGTATACTCTCTGTCACGTTCTTCCAAACCCACAGCTCGATGTAGTATTCACCCCTGTCTCCTGCATGCCTAAGCACTCGCCTACGGGTCTTGCCAATCCTCAAAGGCATTATCCTCCTGACCTGGTATGTCCCTGCCATCGCAAACTCCGATCGTGCACTTGGTCACCAGCATGACTCAAGCTGGGCGCTCTCTTACCAATTCGCGCAGTGGTCGGTATCCGAACGAGAAGGGACACGGAGTGAGCAATTAGTCAGAATATGGCTATTATCATTGTTGTCTTGTTTATCTTGCCTTGTGTAGCTTGTGGAGGTACCCGCGGCCGTCCTCAACAGTGTTCATATATTGTTCGGAACCGATACACTACATCTACAGGTCTCAACAGTACACCTCTCCTCTTACCCCCGCAAACTCGAACCCACGGGCATTCACGATGGCCACAGACACAGACGCGAGGAAGTTCCCTATCAACGCTGAGGGTAATTATGTCCGACCACCTTCGACATTCACGCACAAGATCGAGAAGGGTGGAAAGTTTGAGCCGGAGAAAGGTGAGTGCGCGATAGTATTCATCAAGCGCGTATCATTGAACCTGGGAACTCCAAAAAATCCAGACCGTTACCACCTCTATGTTGCTCTTGTCTGCCGTACGTTGTTGGCTTGT